CCCAGAATTCCCCAGCCAGCCATGCTGGCTGGGGAATTCTGGGAGTTGAAGTCCACTCATCTTAAAGTGGCCAAGTTTGGGCAACACTGAACAAAGGCAATTGCACCCAAAATGGGCAAGGAAATATACTCAACTGTTTTCTCCGTTTGAAGTTCTAGACACTCTTTTTGCGGGAATAATGAAGAAGAGGAGCCCAATTAATAATGCCACTGTTGAATCTGTAGCATAGCCTGGATATCTAAGGGAAGAGTAGATATTTCACTTAGAAAACAACTGTAGGAAAAGGATTATGTGGATATCTTTCAGCAATAATATACATCAACACATTTGCTTTTCTTTCAGAAAGTATTCATTTGAAGGTATTGGGAAATGTATTGACATTGGGCTAGTAATCAGATTTAACTGTATGGGTTATTTTATTTCGGGAGAAACACTACAATAGCCTAAAGGAGATTAGATGTAATTTTATACATTGCAATCTTTTCAACAAAGCATTTGTTCAATTCATCCTTTGACCTGCCTGAAAATATTTCATACAGTATATCTCATTTCCCACTTGCTGGAAATGCCAACAAATTCAGTTAATATTTGTTAGGGAAAGATACAACTCCCACATATTAATTACAGGTGCTTTTATGTGAATGTATGCAAACTCTGGTAGGAAGAAAAAAATTGTTTCATGAAATACCTTGTTAAATATATGAAGTCTCCACAAAGATCTCTGACACTTTCTAGGGATGGGTAAATATGCCAATATCATCTTCTTTTAGTGGCTCACTTTCCATTCAGAAGTTTAGTTCATCTCATTCTAATTACTTTTTCCCAAAAAAAGTTTTTGCTAAAATTTGGATGAATATTTGAGCATATGTATCCAAATCCACTCATTTTTCTTTCATTTTTTTTCTAGTGCACTCCGTATTTGTAGACAAATTTCTCTTAAATACCTTATTTCCCCAAATATGGTTCTAAATTTATCTTTTTTTCCCCTTTAAACCTTAAATGAAATATCACTGTAAGCAGATGGTTAAAAATTACATCGAGCTTATAGCGAAAGGTAAAAATGGTAAAACAAATATTACTTCAAAATTTACATATTTGCTAAAGGTATCCCAGTGTAAAAGTGCCTTTACTTTATTTAAAGCATATTGATCAGATATTAAGATTTCTTTCCTGGAAGGACAGTTTCCTGGATTTTCTTAAACTATGGTTATCATATGATACTGGGGATTTAAATGTTCCTGATTCTTCAGCTTCTTCACTGGGCATATATTTTGACTTCAATCTCTTTATCAAATACTGGTGATCAATTTAAAAAAATCTATTATTGGCACAATCCACAAATCCACAAATCAATTATTGGCACAATCCGCACAATTGGATTTTATTATTATGTAACCCTCTTTGGTATGCCGGCTGGGGCATGACCCCATTTTCAGCCACAGTTCTTTTTTGTTTCTTGCATTAAAGACATAGTTGAATGACATATGGACTGAGGTTCTGACCCTTTGATTTATTTACTTATACAATTTATAAGTTGCCTGACTCCCAATGGCTCTGGGTGGATTACAATTATAATCTGCCCCAGAGCCTGGGAGAATAACCAGGTCTTTAAGAGCTTCCTGGATGTCATCAGGGTCTGAGACATCCAGCACTCTAGAGGCAGGCACTGCGACAGAGAAAGCACATTTCCTGGGCCCCAGAAGATGATGCTACTTAAATGATGGGACCTGGAGCATGCCCACTCTGCCCAATGAGCAGAACCAATTGGAGACAGGCAGCCCCTCAAATAAACAGGCCCTATGCCATGAAGGGTTTATAGGTGAGAAACAACATTCTGAACTGCACCTGGAAGCCAACTGGTAACAAGACTAGGTCACGGTGGAGTGGGGCCACATGGACATATTGAGGCATGCCCAACACTGCCCACACCGCCACTCTTATTCACATGACAAACTTTGTTCTATGCCTAACCCTAGTCCCTGTTTGAAAATAGCAGGTAAAGCTTTTGTTGTTGTTAAAGTCTTGGACAAATTGGTTATTAATTCTTTAGATCAACTTATTCCCAATCAAGTGTTCAAATTATCTGTATCACTGGAAGTTGAATTTTGCTTGCCTAATAAATAGGTGTTGTCGTTCAGTCATTAAGTCATGTCGGTGACCCCATGAACCCTATCGTGCCAGGCCTTCCTGTCCTTCACTGCCTCCCTGAGTTTGCTCAGTCTCAGGCTCATTACTTCAGTGATGCTATCTAACCATCTCATCCTCTGCCGTCCTCTTCTCCTTTTG